TATATCAACCAAGAAAAGCATACAACCCGCGGATTTGATAATAGCACGGTACATTAAGGTGGACTTCTATTTTTCTATCTAGCATACTACCAATGAATTAGACATGCACGTACAGGTAGCAGATTTAAACAAATGAAATTAACTTTTCCAGTTACAAAATGGAACATAAATAGGAAGGGGAGCAATTACCGCTTTGCGTAGCTTCTTGATCAAAGCCATTGGCTTTCTAGTCAGACCCCTCCGGAACCTAAAACAGAAAATGGAGAGGAAGAGTAAAAATCAGCAAATAAATCATTCCAATTACNGAATATATCCAACCAACAAAGCCCAAATATATATATATATATATATATATATATTTTTTTTTTTTTAAATGAGTTTATTTAATATTACTATTATTATTATTGTTATTATATTTTTCCTTCCATAAATTTTCACGTACTTTATCTAAATCCTTAAATTTTATTTCTTAATAATTATTTTCTTTTTAATATTTAATTATTAAGTTATTCCTTTTAATTATTTAACATTATTACGTCTATCTGATTAAAAATTTAATATCAACTCATTTGAGATTAGATATCATGTATCATTTTAGGATGACCAACATAATCTCTCTCACATAGAAAGTTCTTAGGATCGAAGAACGAATGTATGCAAAAATAAGGCATAATACACATACAAAAAGAACCAATACTCAAATATCATAAGACATAATACACACACAAAAAAAACCAATACTCACATATCACGTTTTTTTTTTCACTTCAACCACTCATTAAATTTACAAGTTTTTTCACCGTAAAAATTCATTTGAGATTGTTCTTGAACTTTCTAGCTTTTTAATCACATATTTAAGCTCTTTTTGACAACTTAGCCTAAAGGAAGTCGGAGTCATTTCTTTCAAAATGGAATCAGGTTCAGAAAATAGACTCGAGTTTGGGTAAAGCTCATAAACTGATTCTGCATCAATGTTTAAATTACTCAATGTTGTCAAACACGCACGTGCCTCTGGGTCAACCATCTCAAACGGCTTGTTGCTCTCTTTTCTATAGATCAACTGCAAAATTCGAAACATTAAAAAGAATGAATACACCAAACATTCAAATTTGAATTCATATATAATTTTATAAAGTTTTTTTTGTAACTGGCGAAGCCTACCACTATGAGATATTGTACTCTTAGGCTTTTCCTTCTATGCTTCCCCTCAAGATTTTTAAAATTCATCGAGGAGATGTTTCCACATTTCTATAAAAGATGTTTCGTTCTCCTTTCGGTATGAGATAAATGATCCATACCATACCATTATTTTATTCAACTATTCACATAATCTAAATTCCATTCACGATGTTCAAGATCCAACCAAATAAGTTTAAAATAGTTTGAAATACCTTAGGTGGATTGCCAGTGGAATTGGTGGAATAGAGCCTGACG